GATTCACGTGGTTTTTCACACATGTAGCAGTCAAGTGTATCGCGCGATCGATTCAGGTTACACCCTTATTGTCTCTGTACGTAACAGCTATACCACCAAGTTATGTTATTGACTATCTGCATTACACGAAGTTGACAGTTAAGCTTTAGCAAACCTTCAAATGAGACACCAGATGGTTTCTTCCTAAATGCGAATTTTGCGATCCTTAGAAGCATTGCTAACCCGGTGTTTCTTAGATTTGAGCACTACTCCTGAACTACCGGTGCTCAGACTCGGCCAATTGTTTAATCTTCACATTGCGAAGTGGCTAGACTTGTGCTCTATACATTAACACAGGTTTTATCGCAACGTGGTAAATCCCCGTTGACTGATCGGCTGAGCTTCCGAAAAGCCCCACGGTATTCGCTGATAAGTAAAACAACTTCGGTGATGTGACCACCAGAGATGACGAAATTACCAAAGTAAGTAAACCAATATATCACTTCCACTGGCTCTATAGTGAGAGATTTAGCCGATGACATATCGGTCCGGTCCTACAACAGTACTTTGCACTTTGAAGGTGCAAAGCACAAGCCGGAGAGTTTCACTATGTGCCAGTCTAATCAGCAGAGACCACATAACCACGACGTCCGAGCAATGTCATCTGCATACTCAAGGTTTGTTAGTAGGCCGAGGGTGTTAGTCTAACGCCGGTGGTGACAAAGTTACTGTCCTCACTTCTCGTTCGTCGCATCACCACAGAAAGTGAATCTCTTATTAGGGAAGATCAAACAGTTTTCTGCCTAGAAAGGGCCTGTATTGACCATATAAGCAGCCGATCACAATCACGGTTGCCTTGTGTTTCTTTGTACCTCACTTCCGGTTTAGCTTGGCCGTCCAACCACGATCTCACTTTCCAGGCATCTAACTTTTTTGGCACAATAGCTTGTTATAGCTCTGCGGAACTATTTTCATCCGTTTCTCTTGACTCAGCCGACGTGTCTTTTACATGTTTTTCTTTTGTATTGCAGCATGATAGCCGAGGTGTTTTCCACTTCTAGCTAATGTTTATAACCATGAAAATGATGTATTTACCATACATTCCCACTACCACATGCGCCATAGCAACGCACCGCATACCGCAAACCGACTTTAGTTGTGTTCCTGGAGGGACCATGAAGCGTGGTGGTCTCATCCTGCCCCGGAGATGGAGACAGCCACTGCCCTTGTTAACCATCGGAAGTTATTCCGTCTGATACTTGAAACGGACAGCAGGTGACCTGGTGTTAGCGAAATCATATGCGACGAGAGTGGACAGCCCATACACAGGTTATGAAGGCGCCTAGAGTGTTGGGCTGAACACTGAGAAGCAGTTCAGGTAGTCAGAGTTGCCAGGTTCTCCATCGGCCTATGAGTGCCCTACTCACTGGCCGTCCCCTTGTATACATCCTCTCACTCGGAAATCGAACATGAGATCAGATGTCTGAAATTGTACAAGGCTGCTGGAGTAGATGGACTTCATCTAATCATCTTCAAATTCGGGGCCCTACTCTTTTGGACGATTTAGCTACATTATTCGTGAATCTATGGTGGCAAGAGTCTGTCCCAACAGACTGGAGTCTCTCCGTTTTAGTCCCATTTTTCAAGGGTGGCTCCCGTTTTGAATGCGGTAGTCATAGAGGAATCAGTTTGACCTCAACTACCTCTGATACCCGCCTCTGTCGTTCTCCTTAGACTAACTTACATCCGTGGAAGCCAGATGCGCGAGGAGCAGGCTGGGTTTAGTCGAAATCGAGGCTGCAGTGACCACGTCTTCACATTACGTCAGTAGTTGGATCATCGCCATGTTTATTAACTACCCATCTTGCTTTTGTTCCTAGACATCAAAGGGGCTTCTGATTCTGTTGCTCGATGTGCCCTTTGGGCCTGTCTACTGAAGAAAGGCGTGCCCGAGAAATATGTCAACTTCACAGTTGGGCTGTACATTCGTAGTTCGGACATAGGGAAGGTTTGTGGCGAACTTTTGCCGCCCTTCGGTATATCCGCTGATGTGAGACAAGGTTGCTCGCTGCTACCTTTCCCCTTTAATTTCTCCATTTGCGAAGTTATGGAAACTGCGTTCACTGGGCATGACGAACAGGTAGTGATGCTGCTCCCAGCTCATCGGTTTCTTAACTTGGGGTACGCCGACGACATTTCCCTTACCTGTGAGAACTTTCAAAGTTGCCAAATGACACTAGACAAAGGAATATTGGTTGTCATCCGCTTCTGGATATGCTTTGTGCCCTCGAAATGCAAAGTCCTTCTTCAATATTAGCAGAGACCTCTTCCTGCCCTGACCTTTGTTGGTGATCAGCTAGAAGTTGTCGAGAAATGCAAGTACCTGGGCAGCTATATCAGTGCCAGCGGAATTGAAGATGAGATCACAAGCCGCTTTGCAAAGTCTCGAGGCATTTTTACTAGTCCCCGCCACCTGTGTCGCTGGCGTGACATTTCACTCGACCCTTCTGTACGGTTGCAAAACCTGGCCCATCAAGTCGGTAGAGATAAAGAGGCTAGTTACTTGCGATCATCGCTGTCTTCGCAGCATTGCTCATGTCTGGTAGGAACACCACGTGATCAATGAGCGTGTTCGGCCCCTCGTATCTGGTGCAGGAAGAGCAAGTGAACCGCTCAGCACCGTTATAGCACGCACCGGTCTCCGATGGCTGGGCCACGTCTTGCGCATGCCTGCACACTGCTCTCCGCAACATGGGTTGTTTGTGCTTCCAGGGATGTGAGTGGATGAAAAGGAGTACAAGCTAAGCGATAATTTGGTCAAGAGGAATTTAGTCCCTCACTTCGAAGTTGGCGTCCATTGGTGTTTTCCGACTGCGTGGCCGGAGGATAAACGCGCTTGGTTTGATGCCCTAGTTGACTTGACGAGGAGGCGACCTTTATGGCGTTTGTCTTGTGAGTTTCTTTTCCCTCCCCTTTAACTTCTTTCTCCAACCACGGTCTCGTGTTTTTATCTCGCTTTTTACGTTTTACGTTTTGTATTTCTGCGCGATAGCTGACGTGTTTTTCTGCGTCAGCTAGTATGTGACAATGATGAAGAGAAGGGGGACCCTCTTGCTGGTACATCATGGATTGGGGCTTCGGGGTGGTCTACACCAGTGTCTGGAAACTATCAGACATAGCGCCGTCACGCAGTCAGTGGCTTTCTTGCATCTAGTTTTCATTCCTTCCCGATTAGTTTGTCGCTCTTCTTTCGTGGTTCCCTTTTCTTTTTATTCCATTTGCGTTCATTCTCATTTTCTTGCCACTCTTCTTTATTGTTATTCTCGCGATGTGAGTCGCGGCAGCTGCATCCATTGCACTCCGGTACTCGGGCCATAGTTGTTCAACTGGATATAAATTAATCATCTTGCGATTGGTCTTATTGTCATCCGTTACGATCTCTTTATTGGACAGCGCTTCACGTAGTATTGGTCTCTGTAACGCTGCGCGTATACGGTTGAAGTATCCTTACTGTCGGAAAGCACTATGGCCGCTTAAAATATGTCACAATGCCATCGATTGGCCTATCGTCTTATCAACTGACCATCGTTGAGCATCAGTCGATGTGGACTGCTTCGAGCAGAAACTCTTCATGCGTTTTCGTCTAATCACACTTCTGCATACGTTGGTCTGCTGCGCCTTAACAGACGTTAAAATTTGGCTTCTCAAAAGTGAATGCAGAACTGTGCATGATGTTCTGTAAACGTTGATCGACGGAACCATTACGCTTCACCAAACTTTATGGAACCCCCGCCGCTATCGTGATTCCGTAGATATTCCCTTGACTTATATAATCGAGGAGAAGGTAAACAGCTTTTCTTGCATTGTCTTTTTGGATCGATTTTTTTCAAATGTATTGTTGTACTGTTTTTTAGTCGCCCGTTGTACTTCAGCAGTCCAGTTCATTCAATTAACTTTGCTTCGATCACCGAAATTTATTTGCACTGGTTTCCATAGCGGAAGTTGATATCTGAGTAGACGTTTTTACCGTCACCGAAGAAGTCTCTAACTCAGCACTTCCCCCAACCATGGCTTTTGCTCACTCCTATACAAATTTCAAGACCGTAATTCTTTAGTCCGATACGCAGCTTTCATGATCAGCGAACTTTCTATGCTCCCTTTTCAATGGAGATCAAGCCGCTCAAGACAGCTTATCGGTTCTACCTTTCTAGTCTTTTTTTATTTATTGTTCCTTACAGAGCGTAATGTTTGCTTAGTTTTAAGATGATACCTGTGGCTTCGCCCCCTATGGGGCCTCTTTAAAGCACAGGAATATATCCTTCGCGTTTGGTGTTAGGTTTGTGTCTCTCTTTTATCTGAATATGTTTCGCGCATTCGCCATAATGAAAACAAGCTGGTGGTATCCTACGCTTGTTCCTTACTTGGCACTTACGATGAAGTGGACATTTTACTAGCTGAAAGCCGTTTTACATTTTGACCGAATATACACATCAGTGGTTTCTTCTTGGGGCTTTATCAACTCAGCCATCTTGTCTAGTTCACGGAAATCTGCTGCGTCCGTCGACGTATTCTTGACCGAGTGTTGTATCTTCCGTTGACTATTGTGTAAGGCTTTTGGCTACATATTCTTGCTTCCTTAATTGCTCAAATAATATCTATCATACATGCATTGCCTATCAGGCTCGTCTCCCATGTTCTCATTGCGGTCGTGGGGTTCCATCATCAGTCAGCGATGATACAGCGCTGCTTCGGCGGCTATTCTTAGTGCCAAGGCGTTCTTCTTCTGTTTGGGCGTTGGTATGGCTCGCTGTTGGCCAGTTACCGTCTGATGTTCGCACATTTGTACACTTAGTGCAGTAATACCTGCCTTTGGTACACCACAGAATGAACACTGTATAAATTTATCTGTTCAATGTTTGATGCACCTTTCATCTCCGCATACGACTTTCTTTCCTATGGTTCACAACATGGTTTTCCTAACGGCTTCTGTTAATACCACTCCAACTGTCTTGTTGTTGTAGAAACTCTGATTTAGAGAGGAAGGCAGGGATTGATGCGGTTCACTATCTCCGCTTTCAATTTTACCTGATCGTCTACTCGGCGATCACGATGTTCTTTTGTCTCGTGGTTATTTTACCACTGAACATGAAGGGAACCTTGAAATGTGAGTCCTTATCTTTTCAGAAAACCAGGCCACCCATCATTTCTTGCTTTGGTTACAGTACAGTCTTTTGGAGTAATCTGCTCCATTTTTCCCTCATCCTGTCTAAAGCACTGGCCCCATTGACTTCTTCTGATACTTGGATTTCGTTTGCTCCAATGTTTTGGTTACTTCAACTTTCTACCAATGTTCGATATGGGATCTACTGCAAAGAGATTGTAGTACATTTTCATCTGTTTGCTTTTGTCCCTGCACTAGTCGAATCTTTGGCTATGCCCGAGCGCTCACGGAGCTATGGGAGCTATGTAGCAGCACGTTTAAAGTGATTACCGCAAGCGCATCCATCTCAGGTAGTCATTGAATGGAAAGCCTGCACCCACGCTTCCACTTGCACATGCGCACGCCCGACTAACCCCCTCATGGTTTAATCAGCTCTATATGCTTTCGGTCGCGGGTAATTTTGTCTCTTTGTTGCTTATCCACTGTTCGAGTCGGTGAAAGCCGCCCGTTTGCCTGCGCCTATGTTGAATATGGATTTATTTCGTATCTTGCTTGTGAGCACGTTCTGCCGTGTCTACGAGTCTTGATTCCCCTTGACACGCTTGATCTTCCCAATTTATATCACCCTTTACAGATCACATAGTTGGCCTCGTTTACAGGCTCTCATTCTCTTTACCTTTTCGCATACCATCTCACCATCTTATTCTGTTGACTTGTGAACTATCTTTACTTGTGGTTAATCAACGAACGTTTTAGCTCGAAATGTGTAATTTTTCGACTGCCAATAGGTCACTTCGATCATTCTTCTATTAAGTACATCGCCTACCACTTTATTAGCATCAACCATGATCACTTCCTCTTGTTCTGTGACGAGCTCTCTTCCGATTGCTCTAACGCTATTGTGATCATCTTCACTCTTCGCAAGAATGATTACATAAGTCAAGTAAATAAATTGCTGAATGCAGCCTGGGCGGGTGAATATTTTGCATCGTCTCATCAAACATTTGTATACATAGGCTACGGCCTCTACGAGTTTGCTAGTCGTTGATGCGCGTTTCCAGAGACATCTTCTTTGTCACACCATATCATATAAGCAGATTGACTCAAATTTTCCTTCGTGTGTACAGTGTGCGGTTTTATCTGCGCGACTTCACGCTAAGCGTTGCCTACGGTCAACATCACTGCAGGATAATTCACACTCGCATGATCGCCAATTCTTGTCCTGGGCTACGGACTGTTTCCTGAATCTCTCTAAGCTGTATCGAATCTAACGCACATGTTCGTGAACTCGCCCCTCCACTCGAACTAACGATAGTTTTGTAACCCCGGCTAGTGCTGACTGACTTGCCGGTTTGTTTTGAGTTTGTGCGTACACTGATGGTCTGCGTCCCAACTCATCTTTCGTTGCTTTTTGCACTACCCTCCATAAATCAGCCTCTTCCATATCAGTTAGCTTTATTTTGTATAGTGCATCTCAGTACTCATAATTATAGTAAAATCATGTGCATCTTGTGGCTTCCGTTACACACGGTGAAGGATTTTAAGAACTCATGTCACGTACCTGGGTTCAAGTAATTATCAAGGGTTTCGAAGGTGCTTTTCCGACGAAAGAATAAGGCGCCTAATTTGTAATCCCAAGGTCACCGGTTCGAATCTGCATCGATGCTGGCGACCTCGCAGTATACACAGCCAACGCGCGACTAGTGGTGGTCACGTGGCTGCAACTAGTCGGTGTGGTACACCGGCTTGTGGCGGAAGTCATCTATTCCTTTCTATTTTGCTCTGATACAAATGGAGGTTGGCCTTCGTTTTTCTGCGGTTACATGTCCGGTGGACGCTAAACATTTCTAGGCAATTAAGATCCAATCTATCCTGTTCAAGCGAACATAAAACCTCCACTTTGAACTTACCATTTCATGGAGGAAGCGACTTGGACTCATTAGGTTACGTTGTTTCAAGATAATCCAAACCCATCACGCCACGCCTCACGATTAGCTGGAATGGTTCTCGACCAATACTTCTGGTTTCTGATCTTGATGTTTCATAAACCACACGTTCCTAGATTGAGCTCCAAATATGAGTCAACACTTTCGTTCCGTAGCTACTTCGCATCGCCTTTTTGCATTCACCCTCGTGACGTCTGATTATCACTGTAATTAAGACTTCGGAGGAAGAGATCATTTACAGTCGGGACCACGTCGGGACGAAAAGTCTATCAACTGTCTCCTTCTTTTGGGACGCGAATACTTTTTCTAATCATTCGTACATTCCCTCGGCTTCGTTAAGTTTTTGTATAAAACACTGCTGAGATGTCCAAAATGCCCGCTACTCTGTAACGTTAACTGCGCGGACTAAGTCGGCCGTATACTACTGATGCACTTGGGTGTTTTCTATTCTGCTCAACAAGTCCTAATTCAACCGATGTTCTTTTGTTTGTGGTTATGTTTTACTTGAATATTATTGCCAGTTTGCATTGCCAAACCTGTTTTGTATAGTGTTCTATCAGAATTGCTGTCCTTGTGAATCGGAATATGTTCTCTTCCCAGTTGTATTATATTCTGCAACACTTGCCATCTTACTTTATTGTACCGGAAAACGGACACCTTTTGATAAGCCTTTTTGGTGGTTCTCCTGATGCTATTCATGATCTACGCCCCTCATTGTTTGGTCATCATGCACTGTATCACGTTCCGTGCTTGGTGTTGACTTGCAGTATTTCCCGCGTTGCCTAAACGTTTCTCTTGCTCTCTTTGACCCCAGCTTCCGACTTGCAAGCTTTTGGTGTAACCACCATATCCAACCTTTCGGGGGATTCACCCATGCTGTGGGCGCACGTGATCCTCGGATTTGCTTTCTTTTTGCTAGCATTCGCGTTGTTGCAACACTTCTCTGGACGATTGCTTCGTGAGGCTTCGCGTGTGAACATAATCGTGAGTGATACCCCCCTGATGTGCAGGTGCGCGCTTTCATTTCTGTTCCCTCTCTCTACTTCGGTCATACCTAGTGCACTCTCTTAAGGGGACCCACATTTACAAATAGTAGTGGATTGTTCTAACAACCGTTTTTAACCTGGCTCGGATTCCACTGGGAATGAGTATGTCATTTACGTCTGTGGATGGAACTATTCATGATATTCGCTTCATTTGATTGGATTCCGGTGATCGGCTACATCTGTTCATCTGGAGTCCACACAGCGTGAGTTAAATGCCAGCGCCTCTCTCTTCTCGTTGTGACCCTCGTTCATTAGACTTCGGAAGCCAGAAATAACACTTCCTATACCCCCATTGTTTCTAGAACTAGCTGATATTGTTATCTTTGCTACTGGATCTGTCGGTTACTTAATTGATACCCGACATCACATAGAAATCCGTTTGAACTCGGTGCTGATTGTACTGATGATGGGAACCGGTTCACTTCATTGCTTGTCGGTCATCGGTATTATATCACCGACGACTTCTTGCAACGCAAACGGATGGGTGTACTTATGTAAACTCTTGCACACTTCGGTGCTGATTGGTTGACCGGTTTTGAACACTTGGCTACATTCCGCTCAAATCTAAGTGCGCACCTGGATAACAGTGGCTCTGCCGCCAATACTACTAGTCGGCTACATTCGGCACTATTGCTTATCGACCACTTGATCTTACGGTCCTCCAGATAATACGGCCAAACTGCGGTCGATCTTCCGTAATCGGTGATTACATTTAGGCTACCATTTTTTTTCAGTGTCACCCCTTCTAAATGTACATTGAACGACCAGTTTTTTCCTCGTTAAACTCTCACTTGAAATTATCAGGACTCAAAGTGTGACCGATGCGTTTCATTGTTTACTTTTGTATTTCTTCCGCTTTCTCGTTCGCGATTTTGTAGTGATTTACAAATCCCACTTACGAACTACCTTCACCTTATCGTAACCACTTGCATAACTCTCCACTTTTATAGTCTCAGCGAACATTAATGATATCTGGTATCTCTCGATCCCATTGTCAACGTGATTTGATCCTACGGCACTTCAGGTAATTTGGATTCTATTTATAGTAATGTTTAGTGCTTTGTTTTGTTTATGTGGCATCTGGTCATATGACGATATAGTTTGCAGTATGACAAACACATCCTGTACTTTAGGTCCTTTTTTATCCGAAGTAGGAATGTGCTGTGTCATTCACCATCAGTTTTGACATCCAACAATAGATTTCATAGGTATACAGACTGGTCAGAACTACTATGATTTGTTCAACCCTACCATGTCTCGTTTACGATGTCTCTGCCGCTATTTTTACGATACTGGCTAAATGACGCGAAGTGCATACTATTCTCCAACTCCGTTACCCTTCGACCATGAGCCTATATAATGGTAAATGTGTTCAACTTGGTTCATTCTGGCCTTGCGATTTAGTTTTCCCATCCTTTTTCTTGTATTATTGGCCGCATATACTATTGTCCGATGTAGGAGCTGCTTTTGCCTATCCTTTGTATCGACAGTATTCAACCACGGACACTTCGGTGTCAGATAGGGATGTGGGTATAGTATATGAACCTTCAGAAGTGGGACCTATCCTATAACTTGATATCCTAGACTGACACTCACAGTGAAGGCAGCTATATCTTGTCAACGATACAGTCACAAACGGCTGTCGTGCAAAACATACGGCTACATCGGTGCGAAAATTGCTTTACGACCTTCGCCCTCGTCTCAATCCAGCTCCACAGATAACTCAGCATTACACTTACTTTAAACAGGCACTCTGACTAGGAAACTACAACAAACGCGTTACCAGCGCCGGTTACGAGCCAAACGCATTAGCTCCATCCTGGAAAATGAGGCAGATCAAAAGTTTAGTCTTCAGTGTCCTCATTTCCCGCTACCAAGTCACCCTTTCCCAATCCGTGGCGATTGTGCCACAGTTTTGACCACGGTATCTGCCTCATCAACCTTTATTTACTATCTGGTACCTCAGACTACCAGTACTTGATGATGGAAGTATTGCACATTTGTTTACTCCGGTCGTGAGTGCTGTGACATTGGTTCTAGCGGTTCCTTCGATGGGTGTGTCCATTTTTCCTTGCCTGGATCATGTCAATTGGCTACATTTAATTGGAATTGCTCTCTGCATTAGTAAGAATGGGGTTGTACTGACCAAACGCTGTCGTTGAACTAACGCTTAGGAAACGATCTCAAATCGATCCAAACAAAGGTTGGATTTAAGATTTACAGTGTTGTTCACAAAGTATTAATTAACTACACAAGCTAACCTCAATTGTTCGCGTTTTGAGGTCGACGACAATTAGAGCTGGCGTAGCGCCCAAGCGGATAAATTACAAGGAGTCGTCACGCCTTGAGCCGACAAGACTGCAAGTGACAAAGTGTACAGTAATTTCTGCAACCGTTGATCGTTCCCCAGACACATGCTTGTTCCTGGTCACAGATGGCATACACCAATGTACAGTGCAGGAATTGATCTCATGGTTAAACAGGAATAAGCGGTTCACGAGGATTCTGAACATCATGGTTAAGGTCACTCATTGAACAGTGAGTCCGGCTCGCAGCCTTAAAGATCGCAAGCCTGCCTTGCAATCCGAGTGCATGTGTTCGAGCCTGCGTAGGGACCGGGTGATCCTTACAGTATCCTTATCCCACGTGCGGCTGGTGGTGCTTGCGCTGCAGCGTATTGTCGGTACTGAGTGCCGGCGTACTGCTGATGCCTTTTCTTGCCCAGAGCAGTAGAACAGAGGGACTGGATATCTGGTTGGCGGCATCCGGCTCCGGATTTGCCTGGCACTGTGTCCTCTATAGAACAGCTAAAGGATGCCTGCGCCTCCTGTGGGATCATGGGCGGCTTGCGCTGCGCCACCCACAGCTCAATCCACACACCCCATATCCAGTGTAAACCCGAAGGAATAAGACCGGGAGGCATGCGGATGGGAGCCACGTTTCCTTAACGTAACCGACCCACACTCTTTCACAGGTAAACACAAGCAAGCTGTATTTGGGAATCAAGCACACACAAGGCGATGGCTAGGCCGTAGCCGGCTCCAAACACAAACCACGCACATAGAACCACTTTTTGAGCCTAACACGGTCACGACCACCTTGCAACCCGTCCCCTTTAGCAATGACCAACTGTCTCCTGGAGCCAGTATAGACGAGGTGTTGGGTAAAAGACAGGTGGGCACCTTGTGAAAATGCACTTCAAGTGCAGCCAAACCGGACATGTCAATCAACAGCCAATTATTTGACATGACGATATCATATAACAAATCGAACAAAGCGGACAGATATCCCGATATAATTCTTCGCTAAATTATCATATGAAATAAATGGTTTATCATCATATCCGCGATAAATTCAATCTGGTAGAAAAAGAGATAAAAAACATTTGCAACAAACGCTAATAGATTAAAAGCAACTAGCCACCTTTCGTTTAAGCGACGTGTATAAGTAAATAGCAGATTATTCAGATAGACATTAAAATGAGGTAACAAAGTAAACATTAAGACATGATAGCCAACCAGCCACATGAAATAAAGTGACTCTGCACGCAAGCATGTGGTTAGTAAATCACATGCAACTTACTTACCAACACTGCGCCGGTTCTGCTTGCGCTCTCAGCAGGACTCGTCGTCGTTTCCATGCTGGTCCTGAGTGACCTCACTCATGGCTCACTAGGCCTGCCTGAGTCAGGCACTAGTGGCCGAATGTGCTACAGCACCATGCGCTCCCACGTCGATGGAGTACAGCCCATCGGCGCCTGTCACTTCCTCACCTGTCATTTCTTCTCCTACATCTCGGCAACTGCCTTAGTGATCAGACCGCGCCATGCACATCGACCAACCGCCTTCGATTCCCAACACGTGAAATCAAAATTAGAACGTGATAAACCCACTTTGATCATGTCCTGTTGACGTAACCGGTTTTCTCACGTGCCGCTTCCCTGCACGCAATTGGCTACAAAGCAGATCTTTCGGTATCCGGGTGGAATCCACGCGGCCAATACACCCGAGCCACCTCAAGTGCCTCAGCAGAAGGATGCAATCCACTGCATACATGTCACTGCGTCGGAGTACCTTCGTGTCTGCAACTCGGTCACTCCAGCCGATACGCATATTACAGCGCAGACACTTTTGCTGGAAGCGCTCCAGATAACGGACATCCTTCCGATAAAGCGTTCAGGTTTCGCTACTGTATAGAAGAACGGACAGCACCATAGACTTATATACAAGCAGCTTCGTTTTGTTAGTGACCTGGTGGTTGTACCACACACGACATTCCAGCTTTCCAACTACAGCAGCCGCGTTCGATACGCGGCTGCGCATGCTCGCTCGTCATCTGCAGCTCGGTTGTTGTTGCGCTCCCAAAGTAGCAAAACCTCGGAGTGGTTTCCAACGCTTTGTCGGCAACTTGGATTTGGGGCAGGCCAAGTGACCATTCCGGGTGAAGGCTGAGAGAGACAGACAGTTTTGCTTGTGTTGATTGTGAGCCCGAATTTGGCACTAATCATGTGCTGCAGTTCGTCTGCGCGGTGTGCAAACAACGCACAGTCGTCAGCAAACAGCAACCTACGCATAGTTGTCTCACAGATTATGGTTCTCGCACCGAAACGGCTGACGTTCAGCAACCCATCATCAATACGGTGCTCCACACGAACACCGTAAGCACAAGCCGCATCAAACGCACACGACAACATGGCATGAAGATATATATTAAAGATGGCAAGAGCTAAGACACAGCCTTGCTTCACACCAGTGACAACTGCAAAGTCATCCGAGGTCTGTCCACTCAGCTGCACCCTCGCCCGCTTGCCACTGTGCAGACATTCAGTTAAACTTACGCGGACAACCAAACTTATCCAACACCATCCACAATACCTCGCGGTTCACCGTATCGATTGTGTTGCGACCCGAACGGTATCCACATTGCTCTTCCACCACGTTCGGTTCCACAATCTGACTGACTAGCCGGTTGAGCATGATTCGGGCAATCACCTTGCGCACACAACTCAGCAAGTTGATACCACGGTAATTCTGCAACATTGCTTGTTACCTTTGCCTTGTGCAGTGGTAGCACAACGCAGCCTTCAGCTCTGGAACACCTCCTCCTCAACCACATGCGTTGACCAAGTGGCAGCGCATCAACAATGCGGTCACCTTTCAATACTTCAGCGTGATCCTGCCCGGACACTTCTTTCGCAGTGACAGTGCTCTCTGCACTCATCCATTGTTGTCCTCGATGACATGTTTCATTAGCTTGTCATGTGTTGAATGGCGTAGAACTTTCTGATCTGTATTAACGTCGCGACATTGTTGTTGTTCTTGATTCGCTCGACTGGCTAACTTGGGGTAATGGTAATAAATGAAAGTCGGAGCTGATGAGTAAAATTGTCAAAGCGACAAGAGCACAGCCCACGCAGCTGGGCAATTAAGCGGTGGGACGACCCCGGCACAGGGCAATTAGACGGTAAAAATTTAACATTTTTGTTACAATGAATTTGTATTTTGAAAAACGGAAATAAAGCGGGTTCGAATGTATAAATTCTTTCAGCTATCTCTTCCGAAACACCGTAGCTACATACATTACTTTTTTCCAACGCTAGTATGACTCTAATCTCGATGTCAGTCATCTCTGGAGTTGCACATCGAATCAAAGGCAAACTATTGGGCGTCAGTGGTTTCGCGTTTTGACTGTCGGAGGTCAGTGGGGCTAGTGGTCTACTGTTCAGCATTTGTTTTACGTCGTCGAACACAGTGACGTAGGAATCCTCAAGCAGACGTTTCTCATTGCACACGCTGTTCAATATTTTCCTTACTGTACGGATCATTCGCTCCCCCACACCGCCCATGTGCATTGCAAGCGGGGGTTAAAGTGAACACAACGAGCAAGCACTTCACTGTTGCTTTCCTTTGATCCCATTTTTAACACACTCCCGTACCTCTCTAACCAGCCTGGTGAATTTCTTTCCGCTATCGCTGTAGATGTCCGAACGACAGCCATGCTTACCAACGAAGCAGATGATAACTG